CCATATGCAAAACTTCCTTAGGAGCCATCTGCTCCACAGGGATAAAAATCTTCAACTAAAATCATAATGGCTGATTTCATTAAAACCTCAGAGCGCCTAAAGGTCTACGAGCACAGGACAGAGACCCTAACTACTTATTTGTGAAGGATGGTTGAATGTGTCATATCTACCACACAGGAGAGCTTAAGAATTCTGAAAAAGACAGTCCACGATAGCCTCAGAGACTTTGTATCACAACATAACAAGAATATGAGCAAATAGGGTCCTAGAGGCACAAAAAGAAAGAAATTCATCTTTAGTGAACTGCAAGGACTTTTTCCTTTTTTCCAAATTTCTGCTAAAGAAGGCAGCTAGAGCTGTATTCTTTGTTCAAAGGATACAGTGCTCTGCCTCCAAGGCTTTTATATAAGTTTCTTTTGTCATCTACCTCTTAAGTACTTCACACCGTACACATCAGGCCAGTTCATCCACAGCCAAATTGAAGGTCCACAGAAACCAACGTAACTCTTATTGATGCCAACACACTTGGCATCACAATCCCAATTAAGAACTCTCCTGAGCGAGAACACAAGTAGAAAGGATCAAATCCCCAAAGTACCCTCTCCTACAAAGGTCCTGGTGAACTCAGAGGGAGGTCATTTTACTCAAAACTGGAAAGATCATTTTCTGATTGGCTAATAATAAAACGAAGCCCACCTGGATGCCTAGACTTGACCTCTGACACTAACAAGAGATGCCACCGTGTACAAGCAAGCACATCTGCATGTTAAAGAAATATATACTTAAAAGCAAGTTACAAGCCTAGAGGGGACCAGAATACAACAGGACAGCACCCAGGTGACAGTAAGTCAGCAGAGTCACACGTAAGGCACTCTTTTAAAAAAAAAAAAAAAAAAACAAAAACCTCAATTAATACAGCACATCTTAGCATTTAGGGATCCTCCATTACCCAGGACAAGAGACTAATAATCCAAGAGAGGAAACTTACTCTAAAACGTGGATACACACAGTCTTTCAGTTGTAATGCAAACATAGTATGGAGGAACACAGTATGTGTCAAAAATCATCCAAAAGTTATTTTTAAAATCAGAAGAAAAAAAAAAAA